TAAAGCAGAATAGTCTTTCCTACATTTTCGAGACTTTTGAAATGCTACTGCCATTCCCAACAGAAGTTAGAGTTCTCTTCTCTACTGTCCATCCCATTTGGATTCATCTCTCTCAGCCAGATGTTCTTGATTCCCCTCAGTATAGTCTTTCTGCTCCTGGCCTTGATAAGGGAAACAAAAAAGGCATGAGAAGAGTTGAGATCTGGATTTATTTCAGTCTTTTCTTTCACTCCTGTACTCTATTTTAAATTCTATTCTGTTGAAAACTCTGTGGGAAAACCTTATATTTCATCCTACATAATATCGTAAAACTAGAACAGCCTAGTGGAGAGAGTAGTAATTCAGAGCATGAACTTCCAAGTGAAATCTTGGTTTGAATTCTTGCTCTGAGTATTACTAGCTGTGTGATCTTGGGCAAATAACTTAGAATCTCTTGAGTCCATCAGTCTCTTACATGTAAATTGGGGTTTAAAAATAGTACCTACTTCATAGAGTTGTTATGAAGATTAAATGAAATAATGTCCCGTGCTTAGCTTAGTGCCTTGCACACACACTAGGCTTCTAGTCACGTTAGTTATTATTAGCTATTCGTGTCTAACTAGGAATGATCTTCTCTTTGTTGAGCAAGTGAAGAATAGATGAACTTCAACTGTGTTCTGATAGACTGGAGAACTTCATGGTCACTCTGTTAGAAACATGATAACTGTGTCATTTTCTTATCAAGCACCTAATCACAATCTGTCTTTAGATTGAGAGAGTGGTATTCTCTTTATCTTGTGTTTTCCTTAATATAGAGGTTCTGGAGTCCTTTTGGGTTTGTGTTTACCTTAGGCATCTGTAATTACCTATGGATGGCTCCGTAAGATTTATTGGAGAAGTCCTGTGTCCTATTGGTCAACTCAGAAAATGTGTAAAAGGTTTCACCTGCCTGTCTAAATTTTTAAGTAGAAATGAACTCTATGTTGATTGAATCTTCAGGAAGCTTTTCAAAAAGAGCAATGAATTTCTTGCTGTTGTAGCAAAATATACTAAGCTTTTACCTTACACTGAAGTACCTGTGATTAAATTTACATATAATTTTATTCATATGTAAATAAGGCATTTAATTTTCAAGTTGAATTTGAACCACCTAAATCCTGTGGGTTGTGAATTTTATTTTTTCACTTCTGTGCCATCATACTGCCATCCCGTCTTTGATAGCACTTACAGAGCTTTGACTTTTGTTCAGTGATGATAAAGGATTTTTGTAATCATCCACACTTTTATTCCGGATCTCCAGTGACCAACAATATATGCCACTTTTGTGTTAACTGGGGGGTCACAATCTGGGACCACAGCATAAAGAGGATTGACTGTACCATCCAGCGCGTGTCTGCCATGACTCTCTGGGATTCTGTGCTGCACCTAGTATGGTAGTCTCCTGGCCCAGCTGTTTCTGCTCTGCATTTTGTTCTGAAAAGTTCATTGAGATTTGTGTAAATGATTTAAATAGAAAGGCATCTTTTCTCTTATACTAGATGTAAGTTTGACTCCTGGTCTTTCTTTTATTTTATAATAAGGAATTTTCCAAGTAGCTTTGAATTAACCAAGGGCCCTTGCCCCCTACCCCAACCCTCCCCTAGTGAAAAGCACTACCTACATTTAAAAAAAAAATTTTAATGTTTATTTTTGAGAGAGAAAGAGATGGAGCGCAAGCAGGGGAGGGGTAGAGAGAGAGGGAGACGCAGAATCCAGAGCAGGCTCTGCACTGTCAGCACAGAGCCTGACCTGGGACTCAAACTCACAAACGGTGAGATCATGACCTGAGCCCAAGTCAGACGCTCAACCAACTGAGCCACCCAGGTGCCCATCACTACCTACATTTTAAATAGCACACTTAGATTTGCTTTAAAGCATAAGCAGCAATAAATGTATCAAACGAGGAAGTTAGTTCTTAGATTAGTGTTTGTCAAAGAGAAACTACCTCTGTCTCAAAAGGAACAACTGAAATATGCTTTGTTGTTTTAAGCTCTTTACATATACTTCTTTTGAAGATACTGAAACCACTTTGTTTACTGGAAACCAAAGTGCCCACACCTGTAACTTTGTCTGGGTTAGGTAGAGTATTAGCCTATATTTTTAAAATATTTTCATTTGATAAAGCAGACTTGCTGTGTTGGCAGAAGTGTGAATTTCATTTCCTGTCTGTGGTGTACCCCACTCATCCTGTCACTCAAGACATTTTGTTTTAGGTTGTTCCCGTAATGTGAGTGAAACACAGTGACCCACAGCAGGGTGACATGTGCATGCCACGAATGTAACAAGAGACAAGACTTGTGCAATAGACCACAAGAGCGCAACGCTTTATTTAAAGATGGAAACAAAACAAAATAAAGGCAGTCCCTCCTAGCCAGCATGCAGATTTTTTTTAAAGTGGCATCTGTGGATTCTTCTGTTTGTTTTTAGAAGACATGTTCCAATCTATTTAGCAAGTTAGCTCAAAAGTTTATCAGCTTCATGCCACTTAATTAAAGAATAAAACTGAGTCAACAAGTGACATTATAAAGGTGATTTAATTGTTTGCCAATTAATTTATCATCAAACATTTGTAGTTACAATCCATTAATTTGCCAAATCTGTTGAGTTCTGTAACAATTATTTTTTGCATGTGAAATTACAGAATTTCTGTGTTCTTGTCCTAAATTATAGTTCCTGCTGCAATGACAGAACAGATAAAACAGTGTGGAAAAAACCCTGAGATGAACTCATTCATTTGTCAAATATCTATTGAACATCTAATGTGTGCTTGACACTATTTCCAATGTTGAGGATATAGTGCTGAGCAAAATAAAATCCTTGCTCTTCATTGAGCTTATATTCTGTCATAAGGAGATAACCACATTAAGTATACAAAGTAAGTAAATGTAATTTTAGTGTATGATACATAAATATCCTGAAGGAAATAAAACAACAGGACAGAGTATGATTGGGATGGGTGAGAGGTGATCTATTTGGAGCTGTGACTTAAATAGCGGCAGGGCAGGAGAAATGTGTCCCAAGTAGAAAACAAAAAGCACAAAGACCCTGAGAAGGGGCCTAAAATATAGAAGAAACAAAAGAGACCAGTGCAGCCAGACCACAGTGAACAAAAGGGGAGATAGTGCAAAATTAGAGAAGCAATGTATTATCGGATGTTACAGGGCCTTGAAGTCTGAAGACTTCAGCTTTTATTTGTTCAGTACAAAGGGAAACCGTTGGAGAGTTTTAAGGAGGGAAGTGGCATTATGTGATATATATGTGTATTTTATATACGTAAAATCACTCTGGTTACTCTTTGGTAAGTGGATAGCAGTGGTGCAGAAGTGGTTGCAGACAGACCAGTTAAGAAATTTTTTGCTGATAGAATGTCTGGGATTTAGTTTCACTTCAGGGACCAGGTGAATAGAGTAAGGATGTAGAAGGAACAAAGATTGGCCTTCAGTTAAAGCTGAAATGATGAGAACATGGGGGTTCATTATATTATGCCCTTAATTTTCCATAATAAAAAGCTAAAAAAAAAAAACTTTAATAGTGGTCTAAATGAAAAATGGTGGTGCTATGGACATTGTCAAAGTGGTAATGGAGATAAGTGGCCAGATTCAAGATATATTTGAAAGTAAAACCCCTAGGTCTTACTGATGGATTAGGATACATGTTGTTGCAGGGAAAAAGAGAAACCAAGGATAACTGCTAAGTATTTGGCCCAAACAGTTTGGGTGGATGAGAATAGGGATCAGGTTTGCAGGGACGCAAGAGCTTTGTTTTGGCAATGCAAATTTGCGATGCCAGTTGGATTTCCAAGTGGAAATGTTGAGTAGGGAGTGTAATTCACAATACATTACCTAACTCTGCATAACATGCTTATAAGCAAACTTGGAACCCTCCATTCTGAATTTTGCCATTAGTGTTTTAAAAGTTCTGTTAGACCTTTTCAGATTTGTGGGTAACGTTAAAAGTCTTAGTCTGTTGATATGAAATAGTTTGGATATATTTTGTTTTCTGTGGATATTCACTAGTAATTATATTACTGCTATCCTGAGTAGTAATTCTCCACCTCCATTGAACTGTCATTTACATGAAGGATGGTGTTAACATGACCAGCTCCATAGGTTAAACACATTTCCTGTGCCTTACTCCTTTCAGGCATATGGGAATACAAGTCTGTAAAAGTAAAATCTTGAGTAACACTTTAGTGTGGTGTATGTGTATTTTTTTTAAGTTTTTTTTTTTTAAGTTTTTTATTTACTTATTTTGAGAGAAAGAGAGCAGGGGAGGGGCAGAGAGAAGGAGAAAAGAAGGAGAAAATCCCAAGCAGGCTCCACACTGCCAGTGTGGAGCCCGATGTGAGACTCGAACCCACGAACCATGAGAGCTGAAATCAAGAGTCAGACACTTAACTTACTGAACCACCCAGGCGCCCCAGTGTAGGTGTATTTTAAACAAACAAACAAAAAATAATTTTTTTTGGCAAATTTTGAGCCTGTTAAAGTATTATACTTTACATCTGATTAGGACACTAATCAAACATGTATTGGTAATCATAGATCTAATAACAATACCTAATATTTGTTAAGGGTACCACTGTAAGAAACTGTATTTATATTGGCTCCTCATGACAGCTTTGTTTTTACAGATATGGAAATTTAGGGCCCCCAAAATTCACTCAGGTAAGAAGTAGCAGAGCCAGGATTTAAACCCAGGCAATCTGGCACTAGAGCCTTCACCCTCTTGTTTCCAGAACCTTCACTCTTAACTACTACCATGTAATATGTAGAGAATATCGTAAGTTATGTTTCAGAAAAATTGTCTAGAGTAGAAATGACTTTGCAAATAATCAAGGTCTCTTTTGATTTTATTTTTACTTCATCCCTTGAAATTGGGACTTTGGAAGATGGGAGAGAGAATAATCCCAAAATGGATCTCCATCATACTCTGATTTCCTTCCTTAAATAATGCGTTTTGTTTTGACTTTTTCCTGACAGCATCAGCGAGAGCTTTCTAACTGTCAAAGGTGCTGCCCTTTTTCTGCCACGGGGAAATGGCTCATCCACACCAAGAATCAGCCACAGACGCAACAAGCATGCAGGTAAAGTTCCATGTATACCATTCCTTTCTTGGTTTCTTAGCCTTTTGTTTTGTTCTACAAGGCTGACTACCCCATTCCCATTTCTCCAACAGTTTTGTGATAGTGAAAGAAAGAACTGTACTGTGCTATAATCACTGTTCCTTCATTCTCACTATTTTTCTGGCACTTAGCAGAATGCCTTATATATGTAGTAGGTATTCAATAAATTTTTGTTGGACAAATACTAAGGTACAAATATACTCTAATGAATTTTTCTATGATTTAGCAATGAAGGTTCCGGTAGAATATACCCAGTTTGGGGCGCCTGGGTGGCGCAGTCGGTTAAGCGTCCGACTTCAGCCAGGTCACGATCTCGCGGTCCGTGAGTTCGAGCCCCGCGTCAGGCTCTGGGCTGATGGCTCAGAGCCTGGAGCCTGTTTCCGATTCTGTGTCTCCCTCTCTCTCTGTCCCTCCCCCGTTCATGCTCTGTCTCTCTCTATCCCAAAAATAAATAAACGTTGAAAAAAAAAAAAAAAAAAATTTTAAAAAAAAGAATATACCCAGTTTACTTACTGGCAGTACTTTTCACTGCTAACAAACCTGAACTTCCATATACCCAGCTCACATAAGAAGCCTTACAGTGGGGATAGGGCTCCCTGACTTTTGCCTGACCTTCAAAGAAGCCATCTGGATCTTGGGGCCAGTAGCACTTAGAGTAGGGACTTAGGCCCACTATTGCCCAGAAATGGTTCTCTACAAGTTCTCCATCCTAAAAATCCTTTCCTCAGGCTATTTGTCCTGATAGAACAGAAGAAATCTTAATTTTTAAAAAGCCTCAGCTGCTTAACTCAATTGTAACATGAAACTTAAGTCACTCTTCATTGGTTATTCCTAACACTTTGTCTTCTCCCCACACTGGTTCTTTTTTTTTTTAAACACTTTTAGTGAGATATAATTCACATACCATATAATTCACTCTATTTACTCATTTAAAGTATACATTCAGTGATTTTTTTTTCATATATACAGAGTTGTGCAACCATCGCTCTAATTTTAGAATGTTTTCATCACCCCCAAAAGAAACCCAGTTATCCATTAGCAGTCATTCCCTATATTCCCCACCTTCCCTGCCAATGCTAAACAACCACTGATCTACTTTCTCTATATATAGATCTGCCTGTTCTGGGTGTTCCATATAAGTGTAATTATATAAACGCTCTTTGGAGACAGGCTCCTTTCACTTAGCATAATGTTTTCAAGGGTCATTTATATTAATTTTTTTTAGTGCTTATTTATTTTTGAAAGGGAGAGACAGAGTGTGAGCAGGGGAGGGGCAGAGAGAGAGAGGGAGACACAGAATCCAAAGCAGACTGAGCTGTCAGCACAGAGCAATGGGGCTCAAACTCACAAACCATGAGATCATGACCTGAGCCAAAGTTGGATGCTTAACCGGACCGAGCCACCCAGGTGCCCAGGGGTCATTTACATTATACTGTGTATCACTACTTTATTCCTTTTTATGACCAAATAATATTCTAGTGTATGGATATACTATATTTTATTTTTCCATTCACCAGTTGATAGACAGTTGAGTTTCCATTTTTGGCTGTGATGAGTAATGCCGCTATGAATATATATGTATAAGCTCTTGTGTGGACATGTTTTAATTTCTCTTGGTTTTATACCTATGAGCCCATATTGGTTCTTACACATGAGACTTAGATTGTGTCTCTGGGTTTGAAATGTAGCAGAACAGACCTGGCCAAACATAATGACTCTGTTTTTTAATTTTGAAAGTTAAAAGATTCTGCAATAATGGAATTGGTCAGAAGCCAGCACTGAAATAGGGGTGGGGTGGGAGTGAGGCAAGAAAACTATTCTTTAAGAAAAGGAAAGAAAAAGGAAAGTCTTTCAGACTTGCCGACCTTTATTTATTTATTTATTTATTTATTTATTTATTTATTTA